TCTGCCTCCCAGAATGCTAGGATTACAGGCGTGAGCCACCGCGCCCGGCTGGCTTGTTGTGAATGACATAGATTTCCTACAGTTTATGAATGTCTTCCACATCATATCTGTTTATACAGGGCTAAGGCCAGAAATGACACAGATAATACTGGTTGATCAGACCTTCTTTATCCCAGGAAAAAAGGGGGAGAGTTTGGTAGATTTGGGTTGCCTTGCCATCCCAGATCAAGGTAGAACAACTTTGATTACCCCAAAGCAGCCATCTCCCCATTATTCTTTTTCTTCCCAACTCTCAACAGCCTAACTAGGCAGATGTAAATTATGTTACAAAGGATTGCTAGGGTACCAGGACACTTGGATTCTAACCCTTTTCTAAGCTTTAGTTACATTTTCTGTAAAATGGGAAATACTAAATCTGTCTTTGTCATGTTAAAAAGACAAGTAAACATCAAGAGAGGAAAACTGAGCCTTTCCAAAGAAAGGCAATATAGAAATTAGAAGTAATGGTGTTTTATCCTGCTTGTGCAGCTCTTAGGAAGAGGAAGTAACCTTACTCAGAAGACATTTTTCACTTTCAGGAATGCCTCAGGGTTTGGGGGATGGGGTGGGAAGAGCCTTTCAGCTCTTAACAATACAAGCAGTTCATTGAGAATTGCCTCATGAGAGACTCTGAATGCACCATAGTTGGGTAATAGGAGAAGCTTGCTTTAAAGATGTTCAATGGACATCAGCTGTGACTCATTAGTTAATGGATCAAATTAACTGAATTTGGAATTGGTCCACTGTCTGCAGAGTCATCATGTTAACTGAAGGATCTATGTCTTAGTCTGTTTTGTATAGCTATGAAGGAATACCTGAGGCTGAGTAATTTATAAAGAAAATAGGTTTATTTGGCTCGTGACTCTGCTGGCTGGAAGGTTCAAGATTGGGCATCTGGGAAGGGCCTCAGGCTGCTTCCACTCATGGCATGTGCAGAGATCCCATGGCAAGAGAGGAAGAGGTGCCAGGCTCTTTTTAACAACCAGCTCTCCTCAGAACTAATAGTGTGAGAACTTAACTCACCCACCCCCCCAGAGGTCATTAATCTATTTATGAGGGATCTGCCTACATGACTCAAATACCTCTCACTAGGCGCCACCTCCAACATTGGGGATCAAATTTCAGCATGAGATTTGGAGGGCCAAATATCCAAACGATAGCAAGCTGTTATTCAAATGATAGGTTTCAGTCAGCTCGAGACTTGAGTGGCCATAGTCATAGCTGGAAGGGTTAGATTTGCCTAGACAAATGGCTATTTTGTGCTCCCAAGGCAGAGTTCCTTGATGGATTTGAGCGATGTTCTGGTTAATGATAACCTATCCTTCTTGATCTGCCTTACTTAGTTTATACTAGGGAAATTTCTTATATATCTTTTTACTTCGATTTTCTTTGTTTTGTCTTTTCTTCAGTACGCAAGCTGGCCCCTAATGAATTTCCTCATAAACTCTACGTTCAGAATTATACATCAGCTGTGCCAGGCACCTGTTTGACCATTCGAAAGTGGCTTTTTACAACAGAAGAAGAAATCCTCTTAAATGACAATGACCTTGCTGTTACCTATTTCTTTCATCAGGTGGGTGAATCAATCTTCCTGAAAGGCCTGATTTCTTTTTCTGTTTGAATACAGTTGGTAATTTGCCAATTCAGTGTGAAATCCTTTGATAAACTGCTTTGTCTTGAGTCTGAGTTACGTTTGTAAAATGTTCTATCCCATTTCACAAAGATAAGTAAGCTTTAGAGGTAAAGATATCCTGGAGTTTAAAAGGAGTTTAAAAAATATTCTGATTTTTTTTTAAACAACAGAAAATATGAGCATTGTGGCTATGTGCCTGCTCAAAAAATTTTCATCATTATTATAC